GCGCGGCCGACCCGTGCGACTGGCCCGCATGGTTTGTTGACAGGCATCGTGCCCCAATCGTTCGAATGATTTCGACATGCGCGCGCGAGATGCCCACTTGGTCGCAGTTGATGCACATGTTGAAGCTGCTGCAATGGATAACGGGGCCAATCGATACGGGCCTGGTTGGGATGGTATGACTTCACATGGAAAATGAGCGTGGAGGCAAAATCACCTGTAATTTGTAATACAAAAATCGGGGGGGGGGGGGGGGGGCAGAACCTAATCCTCTATGAAAAAGAAGACTCTATGTTGTGCAGAAGATGCGGTTCAGCGCAATCTACGCAGTGCACTCTACGTGGTGCAATATATGCGAAGCAGTCTACGTTGTGCAATTTGGGCCGCGACGGGGCGGCGACTGCGACAGCGTAGCCGCCAAGCCGACAATCAGGCCCAGACGACGGGCGACGACGAGGCGGCGACGGGGCTGCAACGGCGATAACATAGCCGCCAGACCGACAAGCAAGCCCAGTTCCTTAGAGAAGAAAAAAATACCTCCCAGTGCAAACACTGCTTGGGGAACTCGCCAGCCCAACGGACCAGAGGCGTGCTAAAATCTTCGGGTTTATGAATTGCAGCACGTTTCTAGTTCGCGCGCGCATGGCGGCCCCTGGGGCCCGCGGACGAAAAGTACCTGGACAAGGTCCCGGCAAGTTCGGATCAGAGATGCCGGAACTCCTGGGCGCGGCCTCAGAGCCCCCCCGAGCGCCCCAATGAGGCGCCAGAAGGGTGGCACGTCCCACGGCCTCAGGCCAAGAGCGTTCCAAGATGGCCCACGTTGGTCCCAAGACGGCATAAGAAGCGCCCAAGACGCTCCAGGAGGGTTCCAAGAGGACTTCGAGGAGCCCCACTAAGGCACACATCATAGGTTTTGCCTGGGTTTGGGGACGATTCGGACGGTACCGCCTTTTCGAGCTGCCGACCGCCCTGGACGGCCAGTCCAAGTAGGGCCTGAGATCGCTCCAAAACGGCACAAAAAGCCCCCAAGAGAGCCCCAAAATTGCCCAAAATGGCTCTAAGACGGGCCAAGAGGCCTCCAAGACGGCCCCAGGATGGTCCCAAGAGGGAGCCCAGAGGGGGAACCCGAACAAACATTTCGAGCTCTCGGCCCCAAGAGGCACCCAGGAAGCCCCCAGAGCTCCACAAGAGCCCCCATCAGAGGCCCCAAGGGGCCCCCAAAGATGCCCCCGAGACCCCCGACAGGCCCCATAAAGCCCCAAGAGGCACCCGAGAAGCCCCCAAGAGTCTCCCCAGAGGCCTGTAAAAAGGGTCCCCAGAGGCTCCCAAGAGATCTCCGAACAGACCCCGAGAAGCATCCATGAGGACTCTGACCTACAACCCAGGTGCGTCTCGAAACTCTGCTGTAGCTCTCTGGAACCATGTTGCGCGCCCTCTGGTGCAGTCTATCAGCTCCGACAAGGTGCGAGCCACTTCTCCAAAGATCTCCTCGAGGACAATCATGCCTGCTCTACGGTTCCCCAGGGTACGAGCACGCCACCATGCAACCACAGTGATGCGAAATGGGCCAGCGGAATGAGCGAAGCGACTAAACGAACATCAAGCCTCGGGTCCTAAGTCTACCGTGTAGAAGGAAGGGGGCCCTCACCCAGAGGCCTCCCCGTGGTCGGGCGCTGGCCCTTACGCAGACGACTCAGTCAGCCCTGCGCAGAGGCTCGGCGGCCCTTACACTCGCTACTGCGTAGGCCCCGCCAACGTTGCTGAGCGTAGCAAGTCGGAGCACGAGCTGGTGCGGACACGGAAGAGGACTCACGCGGGCGGGACGGGCTGCGCCGCAGGCATGCCGCTCACCGCCGTTAGAATTAAAGCCGGTGGCAGTGTCGTTGGAAGGAGCAGGCGAGGGATGATGAGGAGGAAGAGGGCAAATGACTGAGGAGGAGGAGGAGGAGGAGGAGGAGGAGGAAGGGGGCAATGGAAGGAGGAGCAGGAGGGAAGGAGGAGGAGGAGGAGGAGGAGGAGGAGGAGGAGGAGGAGGAGGAGGAGGAGGAGGAGGGGGGGCAACGGAAGGACTAGGGAGAAGGGTGGAAGATGAAGGAGAGGGGTAGAGGAGGAGTCTCCGGATTTCGGTTCATGGCTCCGTTCCGTCGCGCGACGGCGCGCATGTCATGGACAACTCCAGGCTGTAGCACGGCATCAGAGGAACATTGATGCTCAATGTGTTGCAGATTAAGCTTCAGGAGAGCGGATACTTTCAAGTCAGCCGAGAGTGTCCTAGCCGACTCTATGCCATCAAGGCGGATCTTAGAGGATAAGCGGTGACCAGCGTGGCTTGCCGATCAGTTGCTTCATGATGGTGGTCTGCTGCTTCCTCACCTCAAATAGAGGAGCGCGTTCCACTACTCGCAAAGTAGCTACTTGCACATGGCCTGGATCCGCCGCGGGGAATCTACGATACATTACATCGAAGCACAGTGTGGTTTGCGGGCGTTTGCGAGTAGACACTTTGCGAGTAGTGGAACGCGCTCGGTGATCAAACCGATTCGGATGGCTTGGCACTGGGTGGGCATCAAACTTGGCGCAGTGGCACTCGGAATCCACAAGCCCAGCTCTGTCCTTGAGGCCGCGGCCTGCAGGACGGCTCCGACCCCCAAGCTCAAGGTGGCGTTCCCCAGGGGTCGCCCCGCTGTTGGGGAGGCAGAACTTACGACCCCCATGGCATTGTCCCCGGTGGCGTACGGCGTCTTCGAGGATATAGGAACTGCTGTTTTCATCGCCCTGGCACTCCTGCCAAGGTTCGGTGACCCGGGCTTCGGCATGTCGGTATCAATCCGCAGATCGCATCTGCACTCCGAGCACAAACCGCGTGAAGACCGACCATTATGTCCAGCTGGTCCACAGCCAGTATCTCATGAATGTCACCGAAACGCTTTGCAGCTCCAGCATCAGACAAAAGAGGTCCTTACCGCCACGCTCACCTCCTGAAGGCCTTCTTCCGTATCGCTCGCGCTGGGAATTGCGTCCGTCTGCGCCCCTTCTGCCGTAATGGAGAAAGGTTTTTTTTTACCCCCCAATAGGGGTTACTAGAAATTTGTTCGGCGGGCTTATTCACGGACGGGGGTCCCAAACATAGGGGGTAACTAATCATTATGTTCCGCGGTACCCGCTGCGAAAACAACGACGACGACGACAACTACGACTACGATTGCGACTACGACTACGACGACTACGACGACTACTGCTACTGATGCCTCAGGAGCGCTCTCACGGAAAATCCCACCTCAGAAACTAGATTTTCGGTTACTCGATGCTCAGTAGCTCTATCCTCAGAAGGACTGTTGAAGCTCAGGCCCCACGAGGGCCATCAGAAACTCCATCCTCAGAAGCATCACCCTCATAAAACATGTGAGCAACGCCTTTGGCGAAGAATGTGCCGATGTGCATTGCAATCCTTTTTTACAAACGTGCTCAAAATTCCTCTGTCGTGCAGGGTGGAGTTATTCCCTGGGAGAATGAAACCCCCAACATCACCCAGGCCGCCCAACAATAGAGGGATAATAATCTCCGGCGCGACGACGACTACGACTAAGATCACACTTGCGATTACGACGACAACCACAACGGCGATCACATCTCAAATCGCGACTACAATCACGATTCCAATCACGCACAGAACCACGACTACAACCACGACCACTGATTCGTATTGCAATTACCATGAGAAGATGCTCACACATCCTCTCGCGTGTAGGGTA